GCAGTCATGCTCATTCACCTTCCAAAAGCACGTTTCTGGTCGCCGTCTTGCTGTTCAGTGGTCTCCAGTGGCTCTCGACCAGAGCATCGCGTTCCCCGAGCTTAGGCCCCTCGGCCATCCGCCTCCTGGCCAGACTTGGTTGCCCGCCGTACAGCCTACCCACACAGTCGCTGCAGCCACCACGTTTCCTAGGCCATCTGTGGGCTCCTGCCTCTGCGGGCGCCTCCTGCGCGCAGTGCCCCTTCTCCCAAATGGCTCCCCCCTCCGAGGCCCAGCCCCGTGTCCGCTTGGTACCTGGCCCACTGCTTGGGACCAGAAGCAGCCCCGTGGTGTTCTGTGACCCCCGCAGCGCCGTGTCTTGCTTTCGGCACTTGCCAAGCTGGTGTCACCGCGGCCTGCTGTGTCCTGTGTCTCACCTCCCTCTCTAGACTGTGAGCTCCTTGCGGGCAGGGACCATCTGTGTTCACTCTGTATTTGCCGTGGCACCTAGCACAGTGCCTTGCACTTAGGTGCTCAATAAACGTCTGCTCAATCGAACCGGAGCACAGTGTCTTCTTGAGCGCGGCACGTGGCAGGCCCGCGAGCCCTTGACCGGTCAGACGGCGGCAGCTGCGCCTGGGGACCCGCTGTTCTGCCGGGGGGTGGAGGGGAGCCTGCGTGGGGTGTCTGCCTGGCTCACTTCCTTGTCCCTTCTCGGCAAAGTTCCACAATGTCTGGTCCATCTGACAGGTGGAGCCGAGCAGCGGGATATGACTTCCCTGCCCACAAGTCGGCCAGGGGCAGACACCTGTCCCAAGGGAGGCCAACCGAGGCTGCTCCTTGGGCTCGTCCCCTCTAGTGTTGGGGGCCAAAGGATGTCATGGCCAGGCCCGTTAGGTCATTTCCTGCCATGGGGCAGGCACCTGACAGCGGGATTCCTGGTGGCCGGTGGTCCAGGTTCCTGTCGTCATGGAAACCTGGGCACACTCACGCGGGTCCTCGGACCCTCGGATGTTGTGACACCCACCATTCTAGCAAACTCCCCTTTTTGCTTAAGCTGGTTCAAGTGGGGTTTACAGCCTTTGAAATCAAGAGCGAAATCCAATCACTGCCCCTCGACCTGCTGGTAAATGGGGGCGGGGAACCCTCCGTATTTGCAGGGCGATCCCAAGACCTGTACAGACCACACAGGAGCGGTCACCCATCCTAAGCGGCGTAAGGGCCGACAGGCTCCTGCGTGACCAGCTTTTCTCTCCCCCGCCCCACCCCACCGCCAGGCGGGCCCTTCCCGCCACTGCTCCTCTTCCCAGCATCCCCCCCGCCCCCTGCAATGCCCTGACGCGCATCCCGTTGCTGGGTCCCCGGCCTGTTCTGCTCGTGTGGGGTTAGCCCTCCCCGTGCCCTTCCCTGTGTCGCCTGTGAAGCAGGTGGAAGTTCTTACAGTCCCTGGGCATATGGAGTCTGGCGCATTCACACCGGGAAGCGCCTACGGTGGTGCCCGCTGCGCCGGGCAGCCGCCCTGCGGACACTTCGTAACCGCTCACAGCCACACAGGACGCCCGCACCCGACCAGAGTCAGAGATCTCGGCCTCCAGATTCTGCACGCTCCCCTTCGTCCCTGCCCACTCACCAGGCCCCTCCTGGCCGGGGAGTCGCTCCTAGAACACAGGCGGTGCCCAGGGGAGCCTCAGGGTCGTGGCCAGAGGGGACCGGGTCGGGGACACCAGCGCCGAGCGCTCACTGGCCCTCGCCGCACTCCTGGGAGGGCCCCGTCCAGGGGCAGGTTGAGGCCAGGGCCGTGAGGAGTGCTCACGCCCAGTGTGTCCAGGACTCGAGATTTGAGTTCCAAAGGCCATGCCACCACCCCGAGAGGCAGGCACACTCCCCCAGAGGTCACTTGACCCAGTGAGCAGAACTGAGGGCCCCGAAGCCCAGGTCAAGGTTGTCTGCCAGCCGGGCAAAGGGAAGCGGGGGAAGAAGCCGCCTCCCCGACACCGCCCCCACCCCGTGCCCCGCAGTCCAGGGCCCACGTCCCAGTGGGAGGGCCCAGGCGCACACTCGGAAGGAGCAGGTGGACTGGCCAGTGCCGCACTACACGTGCGTGCATAGTCCCCGCCTTTCACTTCTTTGGGGGAACACAGGTCAGTAAAATGACCTTGGATGGTTTTTCCAACCTGAAAGCCTTTTTCACAGCTCAGGTTCCAGTCCTCTGCCATCCATGGTTCCAGGGCTGGTAGCAGCTACTGGGGAAACTGAGGCAGGACAAGCCGGGATTTGCCCAGAAACAAGGCAGAAGTGCCCACAGCCAGTGCTGGAGCCGGAAGTCTCGGGCTCCTTGAGTCAGCGCCGTGCCCCACCCCCCACTAAGCTCCTCCCACAGGATGCCCAGACCGAGGCCCAGGGGCTTTCCTACCCACCCCTCCAGTCCCCAGGGAGCCCTGCTGGGCCCCACAGCCTGAAACCCAGTCCGGGGCTGGGCCTGGGCAGGCTGTGTTCCCACCCTACCCTGCCCCCACTCCCAGAGAGAGGAGGCCTCCCCCGAAAAGAACGCGCTTGTCTGCCTGCCTGTCTGGCTCCGGGATCAGTCTAAGGTTTCAGCCACCAAAAAAGGCCACGGGAAGGAGAGGGCCGGGCAGCTGGCCCGTGTTCCAGGAACTGCAGGAACCAGCCTCTCAGGCAGCAGGACCCCCTGCCCTGGCCACACCCTTCCTCGGGGGCGGGGGCGCTGCTGATCTGCACGGCTGAGGACCCTGAGGCCCTGCTGGTAAGTGGCAGGCCCGGGACCCCAAACCCCCACACGCTTCTGCTTTCCAGCACCTCTGAGATTCCTCCCTCTCCCCGTTCCCTGGCCGTCCTTGCAGGGGACCGTGCCAGGGGCGAGAGACAGAGCAGCCTTTTCTAACCCAGCCCTGGCCGTGAGGGCGTGGGCCCACCTGGCACCTAGTGCTCTGAGACTCCAGAAGGTTCCTCGACCCCTCAAGGCCTGTGTCCTCATCCGTGAGTGGAAGTGGGGACACCGGCCCTCGCGCTCGTGGTTTTCAGTCCTGGCTGCACGTTAGCGTCACCTGGCCCATAGCTTTTAAAATACTTGTTTCCCGGCCACGCCCCAGGATCTCTGACCCCCAGGGGAGCCTGGTGTGCCCTCGGATTGAGACCAGCACCCTATTAAAAAGGTCTTGCAACCTAGAAAGTGGGCCTGTCCCCTCGAACAGTGCGGCCCTTTCCTGACCCCAGGAAAGCTTCCTCAGATCCAAGGGGGCAGAGGCAGGGCAGGCGGGCTCTGAGCTGGCCGGCCGGAGGGACCCCCGCCCCCAGCTCCTGCTCTTCCTGCAGGCTGGCCTTGTCACTGCCCACTGCCCCCAGCCCAGTGGTGGGGCCTCGCTTCCTGGCTGGTGCTGAATCTCATTGCATCGGGGGACAGTTTCTGAATGAGGACAGACAGAGGGAAGTGACTGGCCCCATCAAGCCAGTCATTCCACGCCCCGCAGGCCTCAGCCACTGTCCACATGGCACAGATGGGGCAGGGAGCCCAGAGGGGCCACACGCCGGCTGGCTTGGGTCCCCATGACCGTCAGCTGCGAAGTGAGGCGCAACTTGAGTCCAGATCTCATTCCAGGGTAAGCTCTTTTCACCACCACGCCCCTCCCCACGGATGCGGGGTCACCCCCCTGAGCCTGCCGCCCAGTCATCTCACCTCCGGGCTTTCCCCCAGACCCGGCGCTTGGGACGAACGACCAGCCTGGGCATCACACACACGGAGGTGGGGACAGTGGACAGTGACTGCTGGAGCCACCTGGTTCATCCCAGAACCCTGGCTCTGACGGCACCAGGATGGCTGGTGGGGAGAGACCCTCGTCCACCACAGAGCTGGCCACTGCAGAGGTGGCTGTCCACCTCAGAGCTTCCAGCACCCAGGCCTGGGTCCGTCCTGCCACCTGGGACCACACGGCTCCATGGCTTCGCTGGTGTCAGGAAAACGCATTTGATTCTCTTTGAGTAAAAGGTAAGCTGACTCTTTTAGGGGGAAGAGATTCATTCTTAGTCATGATTTAACGTATAAGCCCCACTTGAGAGGGATCCTAAACCTTGGAGAGCTCCCCTGAGCCTCGGTGTCCGCATCATACACTCAGGCCCCCACCCGCCCCACCCCGGTTTTGAAGAAAACGCTGCTGGTTGTCAGCCCCGTAGTAATCACGGGGCGCCTCGTCCTTCCTCAATATCTGGAAGCGTAATTGACGTGTAGGATAGCACACGGATCATAAGCAGGCAGCTCGCTGGATGTCCCCACACTCATCATACCATGTCACCCGCATGCAGGAGAAGAAACGTTTCAGCTCCCCCGGAGCCCTCCCCACCCCCAGCAAGGCCACAGCCTTGACTTCCACTGCACCGTCATCCCAGGCAGGGCAGGCCGGGGCCCAGGACGCCGATTCACGGGCCGGGCCGAGGACTCTTCAGAACTGCCGAGCCCTGGAGTCAGTGGGGTCCCCACGTCCCCCGGCGCTTTGCCTCCCAGCCCCTCACCCCTGCCAGGGGGACCTGGGGCCACGTCCGGGGAGCGGATCTGCAGAAAACGGCCATGCACAGGCTTCGAAAAGGCGTTCTCTCCTTAAAGAAGGAAGCGTGTGGCGTTTCCGGAGTCGCTTGCCCAGTTAGACCAGAGGAAAGCAAAAAGGATGGTCTTTTTTCCAAAAAGTTGAGACATTTCAAGATGGCCGTCCGGCCAGCCCGCCTTCCTGCCTTCCCTCGGCCTCCGGCCACTGGCCCCCCGCGCTTGGGCCTGGCACCCAGCTGTGAGGCAGACCCTGCTCTCTGGGTGGCTCTCCGGGTGGCTGTCCCAGAAGGGAGGAAGTCCCCACTGCTGCCACCCACAGGCCTATCTTCCCTCGGGTCAAGGACACCCCAGTTCTGTCCCAGGTCTGCTGTGGATCCTCAGGCCGGGCTCTTCCCTCTGGTGTCGACGTCCCAGCATGTGAGATGTAAGCAAGTCCCCGGCCTGCTACCGGCCTGGCCGGCCACGAGACCCACGGAGGCAAGAAGCACTGTGAGAGTTGGGAGGGGTCAGCGCCAAGCCCCCTCTTCCAGGAAGCCTCCCAGGAGTGCCCCTCCCCGCAGCTGGTACCACTCGCATTTATGGAGCATCCGCTACGTGCCCAGCCCTGTGGGGATCTCCATACACACCGGTGGGGTCGCGTCGAACCAACGTAGCAACCCTGTGACGCTGTCGGTGGCAGCTCTGCCCAGCGGCCAGAGCCACCAAGTCCCAGCCCCGGGCAGGGCCGCCCGACACCAGAGCTGCTCGGGTGCAGCCTGAGCGCGAGTTGCCGCAGCTCTGACGTGGCCCTAGGGAGCCGACAGTAAGATAGATAATGAGGGGGTGACGGCGAGGGTGTCCCCAGGGTAAGGGGCTGACGGCCCAGGAGCCGGGCGCGGCCGAGAGAGTCTGAGGCGGTGGCGAGGAGCAGAGCCTCAGACGGGGTGCCTGAGGAAGAGGTTTGTTGGGGTTCACGGGAGGAGTGGAAGGGAAGAGGGACAGGCGGGGGACAAAGCTCAGCAAGGACACGTCCCAGGGGAGGTGGCTTTGCCTGACCCCACGGGCGGCCATGGGGCATGGGAGACACGAGGGTTTGTCCCACCATGAAGAAGGGGGACGGTCGTGCGCCCTGGACAGTAGTCATGGAGTGTAACATCTGCTCAGGGCGGCTCGTCTGTGGTCATCGGCCGATAGTGGGGTCTGGCCGCGGCACCTGAACATCCCCTTAAATCTAGCCCGGCAGCTCTCCGGGCTCACTGCTCCTCACGGCAGCTTCACCCCACCGAGCACAGCTTCTCCGTGGTCTCTGTGCGGGGACACGCTCTGAGGGGGCTTATGGGACAGACGGCAGCAGCCGGTCCAGAGGCCGTAACGCGTTAGGGTGGAGCGGTGACGTCTAAACCCGCAAACTCCTCCCACGCCAGACCGGAAACCCAAGCCCTTCCTCTGCCCCGCAGCCCCTCTGCAGTCATGGTCACGCCCGTGCGGGATGCCCAAGGTCCACAAAGGCGGGCGGAACCAGGGGGATACGCTTGACAGTGGAGACAGAGAACCAGGTGGCACGGGGAGCCAGACCCACCCCGATTCCACTGTCCGTGCTGTGGACCTCGCTGGCCGCCTGGAGACCCCCACCATGCTCCCGCGCCTGTGCAGGTTCAGCGTGAAGCGCCCCCCCCCACCACACCCCGGCTCCCTCCTAACCTCCCACGTGAGCTCTGACTCACCCTCCAGAGTGACGGGCACCCCGACCCCCACCTCAACGGGGGACTGCCGAGGCACCGGCACAGCCCGACACACACGCAGTGAACCCCGGGCAGAGATGAGTGCGTAGAACCGTGTGGGGTCCCCACTGACGACCGTGTATAACGTCCATCGTCCCCTCCAGGCCAGGGGGATTTGCTTTCTCGTGACTGTGTCCCCTGCACGTGGCACAATGTGGCCCGTTGTAGGGTCAGCAAGTGTTTAGCAGGGGGGTAAATGGGTGATGGGACCCTCGCCTGGCAGAGGTGGGAATGTGTTCAGGGGCTCGTGTCACGCCATGTGGCAGCAGTGACGGGCATGCTTAGTTCGAGAGACTTGCTGGTGTTCCGGGGGGACCGTCGTCAAGACGGTTTTGTGCCCAGAGGCCGAATTCCTTGTGGATTATGCAAAGGCGTGTTTCTTCGGTGGATGCCTTGGGATGGCGGGGAGTCTGCAGTGCGTGTCGAAGGCAGACGGGAGGCAGCAGGCAGCCCGGGTGGGAGGACGGCTTGTCGGGACCCGACACCGGGAACTAGTCAGCGTTCCCAGCAGCTGCTGACTCACGCACAGCCTCTGGGCAGGGGGCCGAGACGGCCCCTCCAGTCCGGGGTCTGGGGCCGTGCACGGGCGGGGAGCTTGGCATCCTGGACAGCTGGCTGCAGGAAACGAGGGTGGGATGATGGAGGCTCATGGGAGCCCAGGGAAGGGCAGGGCGGGGGTCCTGCTGGGGGCTGCCAATGTCAGGAGCAGGCGCCCCCTGGGCGGTCGGAGCCCTCAGTGGGCGGGATGGAGGCCAGGCTCGTGCCAAGCTCACCTTAGACTCCCAGCATCCCCTGGGAACCAAAAGATTTGGCCCTTCCTAGTGTGGGGCCTCGGATTCGTTGTGGGGACACAGATGGTCAGAGCCAGAAGGACCCACAGACTCAGTGTACAGGTGGGAGGACACCGCAGGAAGCCACAGGTGATCTGAGCTTGGAGCCACACGTCCCAGGCCTCCAGCTTGCCTAAGCCTCTGGGCCTCGGCACACTCATCTGTAAGGCGGAGTTAACACCTTCCTCCGGGGGCTATTGTGTCAGTGAGGCCATTTCTGCATTCGGTAAATACGCGAGGGCCGTTCGGACACCGCTAGTTATTGCCGCTTCACCAAGCCCTCGTTGAGACGAGAGCCATTTGCTTGCCAGGCCCTAGACTCTGCCCTGCGGATAAAACGGAGAGGACCAGACGCCGCCCCTTCCTTCCCCAAGCTTCCAGCCTGGCGGAGGCAAAACGGTCGGAAAAGCACGTGCAGAAGTGAAACTTACGACTGTGCCAGGAGGGTGGACGGCACAGAGATGTGACCTCATCGGGGGCACGGAAGGTCCCCGAGGAAACCCCGAGGCACCAGGTGGGAGGTGAAGACTGTTCCGGGGGAAGGACCAGCCTGTGGCAGGAGGGACCATGGCACAAAGGAGCAACGGAAGAGACCCAGGGAGGCCGTGGGCTGAGCGGGGACAGCGCGGTGTCCTGAAGGCAGGGCCCAGACTACGCTGGCCACCGAGCGAGGTTCAGTCTCGCTCCTGAAAGCAGCATTGATAATAAAGCATCCTAAGCGCCCAGCAAGGTGCCTGCTTGTGATTGGTGCTTAGCCTGCGGTGGCTGTCACTGCGTTTTGTAACAAAGATGTGTGTTCGCTGTTTAAAACCACAGATACCAGCATTATTCACAGTAGCGAAGACAGGGAAAGAACCTAAGTGCCCATCGAAGGGTGACTGGGTAGAGAAGTGTGATCATGGACACGATGGAACATTATTTGGCCACGAGAAAGGGGGAAATCCTGCCTTTTGCAGCAACTCGGTTGGACCTTGGGGACATTACGCCCAGTGACAGAGGAGGACAAATACGGAACGTTCTCTCTTGTATGTGGAACCTGAAAAAAGAGAAACCGAATTCATAGGTCCGGAGAACAGGAACGCGGTTGCCAAAGGCAGGGGGTGGGGGAGGACAAATGGATGACGGTGGTCAGAACTGAAAAGAGAAAAAAATGTTTTCCGATTATCCAACGGAAAGGCTACAATGAAAGAGAAAATATCGACTGTCGGCGAGGACGCGGAACCTGCAGAGCTGCCCGCCGGACACAGACACGGGTGGCGGGGATTACACCGCCTGGAGCACGGTCTGGGACGGACGCAGCCCGCCCCCCACCAGCCGTCCCACGCCCGACGGACCCGTGGTCACCGACAGACGCACGCACGGCCCTTCGCGGCGGCCCTGTAAGGACCAGCCCCAAACTGGAAACCACCCGAAAGCCCATCGACAGGAGAAAGGACGCTGTGATGCAGTCACACGAGGGGACACCGCACAGCCGTGAGACCCGCAGCCACACACGACACGGCGGGGAGACGGGGCAGAGCGCCCCCCGCTGGTGGGCGAGCGGGGGCCGGGGCGCCCGCCCGTGCCACGGGAATCCAGATGGCTCTCCCTGGGGGCCGTGGGGCTCCTGGGTGCTGGCCGGGGCGCTGGGCGTTTCCGTGGGAATGGACTCATCACGCTGGATGCCTACGACCCGCGGACGGCCGCTCTGTGCGTCACTGCAGTACGGGCGGTTAAAGAACACGCGGCTGCCTCCAGCGGGGGGTGGCCCGTCACCCCGCAGCCGTGCTGTCTGCTGTGCCGTCCCAGGGCCCGGATGGTGCGCGTGAGGACAGGGATTCAGGTGAGCCCCTGGCCAGCAGGAGGACACAGGCAGATGTGGCAGCTCCGAGATGGGGAGGGAGGGGACCCGGGCCGGGGGCTTGGTGTGCAGCCCACACCGCGGCCCTCCCTCGCAAACAAACCCCGTGAGCAGGGCCTTTTCTC